CAAGAGAACATGGACACAGAACTTGGCTGGAGATTGTGGCTAGAGATCCTGGCAAGGCTGCTGATCAACTGAACGCTGTCTCCGTGTCATTCCTTCTTCGCTGACTCCGTCCACACCTTTGGGGACCCCTGGACCCGCTGGGGCTGGACCCCCGCAGGGGTCGCGACCCACAGGTTGAAAACCGCTGCTCTGGTAGGAAGTTACAGTTCATTGGTGGCAATAGGAGAGTGGACATCCCTCCGGCGTGCCACGTGAATGGAACTTCTTTGGCCTGAGGGGCTTTCATGGCATGATGATAATCCGCTGAGTTAATCGGTTCGGAAAGCAGGCTGCAGTTTTAGCTACAGGACCAGCGTCTCCGTCACTGGCGGTTTACGTGAATGTTTCCTCCGTCTGAAGTTTCTCAAGGGCCCTGTCCCCACGGACGGCAGTTCAGTTTGTTTAAAGCAATTTCCATCCTGGCTTTTCCTTTGGAATTTTCCGAGCCGTATTGTGCAGAAAGCAGGGCTCCGGGCGCTGGGTCACGTTCCCTGGAGCAGGCAGCTCCGGGGATGGCAGATTTTCAAACTGCACAAGGAACGCAGGTCTCACCCCGGGCACCACACCATGGAGAGATTGGAGTGAGAGCAGCTGATGCAGAAAAAGAGGGAGGGAGGGAGGGGAGAGGGAGAGAGGGGAAAAAAGTAAATGAAACAGAACAGCTGTACTCCCCATGTGTAGTTATCGTGTTTTTCAGTCTTCCTTGCCCGCAATCTGCAGGCATTGCCCCCCAGTGTCCCCTCCGTCTGTGTTGCTATAAGGAAGGAGGGTGGCTTATATGCTGGAAGCTGTTGAGTCTGAGTTATGGAGAAATGATCCCAGTCAGGGCAGACAAGTGAGTCTCAGACAAAAACATGGGCATGTGTGGAACCTTCCCTCAGAAAACACACGGACAGAGTGAAAGGAAACAGAAGAAATTAAACAAACAAATATGAACCTGGCCGCTGGGCTGATGACACCGAAGCTTGCAGGGGCCCCGCCCCAGTTCCTCCTCGGTGGGTGGAGGCGGGACCAAGGGCTCTTATCTGTCAGGAGAGGGATCGCACCTCCCTTTCCGAGGCCTGGCTGGCCCTGAGTGGCTATGTGCTCGGATCGGGGACCTGCAGGCTGTGGACGAACGCGCCTGTGAGGGACTCTCCTGAGGTGCACCCAGCTCCCTGCCTGCAGCCGCACCCCTGCCGCACGGTCCCCTGGGGGACCTCTGGGCTGCTGAGGGAGCTGCAGGGAGGCAGGAGGGCAGGGGGGCAGGGACCCAGGGAAGAGAGGACAGGGCCTGGAGGGTGAGGGGCGCCTTCACTTCCACAGGGTGTGAGCCCGCTGTCCAGTCAGAAGAGGGCAGCCCTGGAGGCGGGAGGACCCATCAGGGACGTCCAGGGCAGAAAGCCCCTCCCCCCCTTAGTAGTTTCTTTAAGGGAGAGGGAGAAGGAGAAGCATCAAGGATGAGAGAGAATCATGGATCTGCTGCCTCCTGCACGCCCCCCCACTGAGGATCGAGCCCACAACCCTGGCAAGTGCCCTGACCTGGAATCTAACCCTGACCTCCTGGTTCATAGGTTGGTGCTCAACCACTGAGCCATGCTAGCCGGGCAGCACCCCCTTACCAAAAAAGAATCCCTGGTGCAGATGAGCCGAGCTCAGCCACACACACTTATTTGCAAAATTAAATCGATGGTTAGACATCAGGTGGGTCCCATGTGTTCAGATCCTGTCACTGCACCGAGGTTGACTCTCTTTCTCTCCCATTTATTCTCCGAGTGCGGGATCGTGTTTGTCTGAGCTGTTTGCTTTGGGTGACATTTGCTCGGAGGAGTTCATGATCTCCACCGACTGTTCGTCAGTCACGGCGTCCATCTCCTGTCTCCTGAGTGAGTGCAGGGCACCGGATATGAGCAGGAGGGGCGGCGATGGGCCAGGGAGGCGCTGGCCGGGTTGCTGTAGAGCGCGTCCAGGGAGATGACACGGGCCACGCACAGCCGGCAGGGCTGTGGCCAGAGCAGGTCCCGGGCACCTTCCCTGTTCTGTGTGGTCCTGGCCACGAGTCGCAAGCAAAGATTTGAACCCCGATCTTCATGCCTTCAGCTCCTCCAGGTCCAGGTTCCCACATGTCAATCAGAAATGTGTTGATGAAATATTATTTTCTATTTCCTCCACAAACGCCGCCCACATGTTTTCCCAGACGTGAGCTTCTTATTACATGTGATGTGGGTCCTAGAAACATGGAGACTCCTCCCCAAGTATCAGAGCAATGAGTCCAGAAACCAGGTCCTATATGTTCCCTTTATGTTGCATAAGGAGCAGGAGGGTCCGACACACTTGTGCTCTGTTATTTAATACTAGAGGCCTGGTGCACAAATTCGTGCATGGTGGGGGGCGGTCCCTCAGCCTGGCCTGCACTCTCTCCAATCCAGGATACTTGCGGGATGTCCGACTGCCGGTAGTTGGACATCCCTCTCACAATCCGGAACCACTGGCTCCTAACCAATCGCCTCCCTGTCTGATCGCCCCTAACCACCTCCACCTACTGTCCCAATCACCCCCAACTGCCCTCCCCTGCTGGCCTGATGGCCCTAACCACCTCTGCCTCAACCCTGCCACCATGGCTTTGTCCGGAAGGACATCCAGAAGGTCTCCTGGTCTAATTCGCATATTACTATTTTATTAGTATAGATTGTGTCCCTGATACTTAGAGGATGCTTGTCTCCAACTAGCTCTCCGCCTTTGCGTCTCTGCTGAACTCCGCGTGATTGCATGAATATATGAATAAGTAAATGTGCAACTTTCATTTTATCTAAAATTTGTTGTGACTGTAGCAAATTTAGAAAACTCTGTTGTCACTACCCTTAAGCTGAGACGGGAATCTGCCTAAACACTACGGTGAAATGAGAGCGGTTTGTGGAATCGGCCGTGGCTGGTGGTGAGCAGATTGGGTGAGGAAGATGAAGTGTGTACGTGATTTTTAGCTTTCGAAGCTGAGGCTGTAAGACATGGCCTCGCTGTTTCATGGCTGCTGGTTCACGAGCCCTTACACTTCACTCACTTGGCATCGCTGGCCCCTCAGCCTGTGGCCCTTTCCCGGCGCGGTGGGAAGCGCCCTGACGGACCTGAGGGCGGGCGCCGGCTGCCTCTGCCCCGCTCACGCTCTGCTCTCTCTCTTCCAGTGAAAAAGGCCGTCGAGCTCAAGTCCAGAGGCGTGAAGATGCTGCCCAGCAAGGAGAGCAGCCCCAAGAACTCCGTCCGTAAGTCCCTCTTTCCTGTGTGGTCAGTCGGTCGGTCCGTCAGCAGAGGGGGCGGGAGTTCTCCCTGGGCTGTTTCTGGAGAAGTCAGTCTACGAAGGGCCCTCCCTCCTCATCTCTGTCTACTTCTCCACCTTCCCCACCTCCGTCCGGGGTCTTTTCTGGAGAAAGAATGTGTGTGACCTCACACTCGGGGCCGGGCGGGGGGGAGGTCCTGCTGATTGTGGATCCTGCCTCCTGAGTGGATCTCAGCGCTGCCTCACTCCCTGCCCTCACTGGTCGCCGGTGCAGCCCGAGGTTTCTCTCTTAAATAGATGTCTCCTTCCCAGGTTTTATCCCACCTTCTCTCTCCGTCCTAGTACACATACCCTCCTTACTCCTGGTCCCCCACGCACACTATATTGATCTCTGGGACATAGGTGTCAGGGTCTGTAATTTCTAATAAAATGTCCCTGGTTGGGCCGCCGGAGTGGCTCACTGGTTGAGCGTTGCCCTGTGAACCAGGAGGTCATTCACACACCCAGCTCTAATACTGCGGAGCATTCAGGCACGGGCTCTGTTGTGAGGAGGTAGGTCTTCTGTTCTTATCTGAACACAACGGAACAGGTTCGTAATTGCTCACTGGGTATTAGGAAGCGTCTGTCCTTCCTCCCCACAGTATTAAACTGTCTTTTTGTCTGACATGAGAATTAATCATTAGAGAAAATGAGGAGTTGAAGAAACGGTGAGCCTTCTGAGATCAGTGGTGAAATAAAATGGTAATGTTATTTATGCAGAAGGTGTGACAAAACTAAATTAAATGTTTCATGGAGAAAAGGGCACGGGCTTTGAAGCCAGAGAGACAGGGAGGCGCGGCTGTAAAATTATTTACCTCCTCCCAGCATTTATCAAATTAAAATGGAAATGATTTTTGTCGGCCAGATAGAGCAGGTTGTTTGTACATTACTGCTCCAGAGGTGGCATTTCGTGGGCCTTCAGCAAAGCCAAGCCGTGGGGAACTTTCCAGATAACAGTGGAAAGAAGCAGAGAGCGTGCGTGTACGTGGCGGGTCAGCCGAGAACGGAGGGCGCGGGGCCTCACTTTTCCGAGCAGGATGAGGTGCAGAGCCTGAACGTGGTCTGTCAGAGCCTAGAACACAGGTTCAGTCTCGGCGGTGAGGCCGGAACGCAGCCTCCCCGAGTCCGTCCGGCCGCGATCTGGGCTCCGGGGCCCTGACCTGGAAGCCAAGGGCCATTCCTCCTCCGGCTCCAGGGACCCTGGGGGACGTGAGTTGCCCGTGAACACACTGAGATGGCGGCTGCGAGAGCTTCCCAGGGGCATGTGTATGGAGACAATCTCACCGACTACAGCTCAGGGTGGATGTGGAACGTGGACCCGGGTGCCAGGTCATCCTCACGTGGGTCTGCATCTGGGCAGCTGGGCCCAGCCCCGGGCGCCGGGGCTACGGAGACCCGCCTCTGAGGCCCCCGGGGAAGTGCAGGCACCGGGCGCTCTCCCTCCTGCAAGCGGCACGTCTTCACCTGGGCTCCCACCTGAGGGCCTGGGGAAGGAGGACATGGTCATGAGCACTGCTCAGCGCGGCCCATGGCCATTGTCACTGCTGTCCCATGCAGGTCTCTGCTGACCCATCTTACTGTGTTCACTCCCTATGGCTCTCTCTGACTCATAGACTCCCCCGGAGGCTGAGAGGGCAGCAGTGGCCGTGAGCCACCTTTCCCATCCAGAGGACAGGCCTGCCCACCAAGGTTCCACCTGCTGTGTCCTGAGCCCTGGCCTGGGGGCTGCGGGAGTTGGCCGGGCCGGCAGCTGAGGGGGGAGTGGGCATATAAGGGCGGCGCTGCTTCCTCCCGGTGCCCCCGCAAGGCCCCTCGCGGGCTGTG